GTGCGGTTTGTATAGAGCCTAGGCTCTAAACAATCAAAATTAGAGCCTACCTTTAAATAGTGCCGAGAAATATGGTTTCAATATTAGAAGTATTTATGACAACCTTAAAATATATTTTCATTTTTATTTATAAAGTTTAAAGCTTCAAAAATAGTGTAGCTCGACAGATCTATGAAAACTTGAAAATTGATGGTCCAAAAATGTGTTACAAAATACATTATTTCCAAAATTTAAAATCTATTTTTTTCTCATGTCCATGCATCTTGATGTCGAGATGATCAATTTGAAGATATTTGGGTATCAAAACAATATCTTCTAGTGAAAGTTTTGATGCATTAAAGAATGAAGTTTTATGGAAAGAAGTGAGAAACATGTTTGCCTTCTTAGAGCTATGAACATGGTTTTGTAATCAACCGGGATAGAAAGGCCCTCACCCATGATTAGGGCACTGGACGATATTGTATCCTTACACACTCATCAATTGGAGAAAAAAAAAGAAATTTATTTGTTGATAAATGATTAATCAATATGGGGGCCTAATTCTATTGGACATCGTACTAACTTATGATACAAAGAGATCACAATTATTTTTAACCCTTAAATGTGAAATCTGATATTTTAAAAAGTGTTGTAATAATCAAAAAATTCTATCGTAGACTTTATGCCATATTTTCTACAACTCAATTCCACATATAATAGTCAATAATGATTATGCCTTCTCATATAAAAAAGTAAATAATCTTATTATATACATTTTCTCCAAGAAGTGACATGGATGATAAGTAATTTAGAATTTTGAGGTAAAACATATTCCCTCTTAAAAAAAACCATATCTAGGAGTATGTTTTAAGATTTTCAAAATTTAAGGACATGATCTACTCATCCTAGCCACCCAGCTTTTCGCAAATAATTGTTTAGGCATCAATATGATTTGACAGGCACATCAGGACCATCCATTCGTTTGATCAATCCAATCAAGCAAGTGGGGCTCTATTCTCCACTTGATTGAAAGCCCCACCCACC